CCCTCCCCTTTTTTCCCCCGTTTTTGTTAATAATTAGCCGCACTCTTTAATGGAACAATGGTAGATTATTATTGCTTCTTTTCAAAGATCCCATTAACAAGGTTATTATGCACTGCACGGGAAGTCAGGTAAATTAAACTTACATTGCTGGAAATTAAGTTTCAGGCGGTTTTGCGGGGGGGGGGAGGGAAGCGGGGATTTTTTTACACCTTCGGGGGTCGTTGTTTTAAATACTCCAGCCCTGGAGCTCATGGCTCTGTCGGGTTTATTTTCCGATGTGATTTTGGGTGTGCTGGAGCATTACAGGGGAGGCTTCACTGCTGCCAATGGCTTTCTCTGTCTGAGTTCCAAGAACAAGGGCTTTTTTCAAGTGTTTTCGTGGTGTTGGCTTGACTTTATGGCTGCAATAAGTCCCTCGGTAGGGAAACCCCCGCTGTGTTCTCACTTCAGAAGGATCGGGAATTCCAGCTCCCCATGAAAAAAAGAGAGTTTCATTTTTTATTGGAACCAACTGCACTGAACTTTTTACCAAGTTCTTAGCGGCTTCAGCTTTCACACAAGCAATGCTCTGTTCTGTTTGCATTTCGAAATATTTGGGTGTTGTTTTAATCCCCTCATCTATCTGCCTGGCTCTGCTTGCTGGGCTTGGCCAGAAAAAGCCAAGCGACAAAAAGCGGGACCTTCCTGAGCAGAGAACTGGGGTTGTACATACTGTAAATTCTTGTCTTTATCTTTATTTATGCCCTGGCAGCTGAGTGATGTCTGTCAGGAGGGGAAAGCCGCCCTCGCAGAGCAGTTAATTGTGTTAGACCACCTTCTGGGGAGCCTCGCAAGTTCCCCACTTTAGGGCTCCTTCTCAGCAAACCTAGTGCCTGTTTTTTGGGGGAGATGAGGCCAAAAACTGCAGGAAGATGAGCCCATCGGTGCCCTCAGAGAGCAGTCTAACAAGGGCTACTGTACGAGCTGGCTGCAGCCGTTGTTGCTCCTGTCTGTCTCCCTCCCGGCTGAGCTGGCGCTGGAGGCGTCCAAAGAAAATACATTCGCAAAATCCGTCTCGGATTTACTTCGGACCTCAGGCGGGAGGACGTCTGTTCAACACCCACACTAATAACCAGTTTTATATTTTAAATTGTGCATTTCGAGCTACCGAACTGGGAGCAGAAACCACGCCTGTGCTTTAACATACAATTCTGGGAGATTTAGTGCACTTTAAAGACCTCTGCTCGTATTTACATGTATCATAGGTGGCAAATCAATTAGACCGCGGGCCTGACCCTCCGGAAGATGAAAACTGTGACATGCTTTGGCTTGTTGGGGTTTTTTTGGTTTGTTTTTTTTTTTTTTTTTCCTCCACGTTGGGAACCAAGTTTTCTTTTTAAACTCCCTCACATAACCACTTCTAGGGTCGTCCTTCTAAGAGGAAAGGGTTTTTTATCTGTAGCGCATCTAAGATGTCAGCAATAGGAAATTAGCAAGTGGCCACCTTCAGTAAGAACGGGTTTATTTTCTTTTAAAATGTCGACTGTCAAACTATGTAAAGAGCCTGTTTCAGCCACAAATTACAACAAGCAGGGTTGGGATCTGGGGGTATGAGATTTCCCCCCCCCCCCCCCCCCCAAACTCTTTGGAGGGATTTCTTTGCAGAGCAATCACGAGAAGTGGGAGAAAATATGAGAGCAAACATTTTCAGCAGATGTACTCACGGACTGAATTATCAGGACATCCCATTTCTTTGCCCAAAAATTTGCATGCAGGGCTGCTGCTGCCAGATAATCGCTGGGTTTGCAGAGCTACAAATATTGTGTAACTCTCTAATCAAATGTATGAGCTGTTCGGCTCCTGCAAAGCAGAAAACTTCAGGCTCTCATCCGAGCTTTTTTTTTTTTTTCTCCTTCTTCTCTGACCACCGTTCCCTTTCAATCTCACTTTTTTTTTTTCCTTGCATACCAATAAAGCAGATCTACGTAAGTTTGGGTCCATTCCATACACAAAGGGAAACTCTGCAAGAACAAATATAAAAGATATCAGTCAGAGAGGGGGTGGAGGATGGAAAACTACTTCCTTTGCATGTTATTTCCTTGAATTATAAGGATTACGTTTCAGTCGAAATGTTCATTGGAGTCGTGGCATGAAACAATCTTGGCTTTGCTGCTGTAAACACGATGTTTAAAATAAATTAGCCAGTAATAAGATCCCGGTTTCGTAGATACTTAAAGCTCCGTCAGAGAGAGCCGCATTGGCAGCTCTACAGCCACCATGTAATATATGTAATTCTAGATTTGTGGCACACACATTCACAGATTCAAGTAGTGGGGAGTGGATTATAAGGCGTGTCATTTCACTGCATATCAGACCCGACAGACAGATGGTTACAAATTCGGACAGGAAACAAATCCTTGATAAAACGGGAATGATCGGGGCACGGTCCTGGGGTTGATGTAGGTGGTGGTGGTTTTTTTTAATTTTATTTGTTTTGTTTTCCTGTGCGATGACTTTGATTCTCCCACTTGCAAATAAAGCAGGCGGCGAGCAGATCTGCAGCTCTACCTTGAGCGACCGAGGAGCT